CCTAATACCTGGAGTCCAGCTATTCATTCCACATCTTTGTAATGCTTGTGGCTCAAACTTAACTGTTTTACTACTTCTAAACCTGTCTTTCCCTACGTGATTCCTAATTCCATAAATGGTATCACCATCTGCTGAATTGTTCAGGCCAGAGTTTATCAATGTCTTAATCATTTCTACCTCTTCAACCAGCTCTACTGGCTACAGAAGGAAATACTGCACACATTGCTGTGACCTGTGAGGGAGACCACCATCTTATGATCATTGACATACTAACATGAAATGTGAATGCCCTAGTTAAGGCATGAATCACACCTTGGAATAGAATTTTAAGGTACTAGAGTTGTTTCTTTTTTTTCTTTCTTTCTTTCTTTTTTTTTTTTTTTGGTACCAGGGATCAAACTCGGGTCCTTCCACTTTCAAGGCAGGCAGAGGAACCACTGAGCTAAATCCCTGGCCCGTAGAGTTGTTTCTTAAAGGTAAATGGCTCCCTAAAATGCTGTAAATTGGAAGTAGCCCCAATAAAAACTAATGCTAATGCCTATTAAACTAATGCTAAAGTTAAGATAGAAATGAGCATACAATAATAGCAACATTTGAAAAAGAAGAGTAATGAAAAGTAGAATCAGCTGTAGAAGATAAAGATCACTGTGCTGTATAATTAAAATTGTGATGTATGGATGCACAGATCAATAAAATATAATACGAAAACTCGAAAGAGATTCAAAACATATGGGATATGATAAAAGTGGTGATAAAAATGGAATCTGAAATCAGTGATGAAATTTTTTTTTTTTTTTTTTTTTTGGTACCAGGCATCAAACTCGGGACCTTGCGCTTGCGAGGCAGGCGGCGGTACCACTGAGCTGAATCCCTGGCCTGAAATTTTTTCAGTAAATATGGTATTAGGATAATTGGGTGGTCATCTTGAGAAAAACAAAGTTGGATCTGTAATTTATACCTCCATTAGAATGAGTTTTAAATGTAATCAAACTTTAAATTTAGAAAGCAAAGTCATAAAATAGAGTTTAATGGGAGAGTTTTAAAAATACTTTAGAATTTTAAAAAATGCAAAACCTTGAAGGAATAGAAAAAAATGATAAAATTAGACTTCATAAAAAAGAAAAATTTCTGAATATCCAAAACCACCAACAAAGTCGAAAGACAACATGAGGAAACACACAACTCATCAGAGATAATGAGTAAATTTCCTTAACATCTAAGCAATTTTTGGAAATCAGAAAGAGACCCAATAACTCAAGAGTGTGGAGATAAAAGACTTAGGCATTGCTGATGGAAATGTAAACAGGGACAGTCTTTATGGAAGGTAATTCCACAGGATTCATCAGAATTATAAATGAACAAACCAATAGACTCCACGATTCCACATACAGAAATTCATGCTAAATTGAAATGAAGTATACATAAAGATTTATTGAAGCATCATTTATAGTAGTAAAACACTGAAAACAAGTGTTCATTATAGATTAGTTAAATAAAATATCCATCTAAGATGAAATGCTATGAAATTAAAAGAATGGGGAAATTACTGATAGGGAATCATAAATATTTAGTGAAACAGTGCAAGGTGTGGAATAGTCTTTGTTATATTGCCATTTAAGTAGGAGAGAATACATGGTGCTTGTATATTCATGAAATATCTTTGGAAGGATTCACAAGAAAATTGTGGCTAGGTTTTGAGAGAGACTAGGGCACAATACCTTTTCATACTTTTCAGTTTTAAGCTGTAATATAATTTAAATGAAATTTTAAAAGATAACAGTTTAGGGCTGGGGATTTAGCTCAGTGGTTTTGCCGCCTGCTGAGCAAGGGCAAGGACCCAAGTTCGATCCCTGGTACCAAAACAAACAAACAAATAAAAGATAACAGTTTAGAAGTTAACATTGCTTCAGTTTACTCAGAAATGTTTTTAATTTTTACTTTTATCAGTACACTTTTTGCAGTACATAATGATTACAATTGTCATGGGGAATTGGAACATGTGCTAATACATTTTAATTATTTTTATGTTCCATACTCCTCTCTCTTCTCTCTCCCTCCATCTCTTGGTCTCCTTCCCATTTGCAAAGGATCTATCTCCCTGTTTCCTATTTTCTATCTTTTATTTTGCTCTTTAATATATTTATACTGTGAGTTTCTCATATAAGAGAAACTATGCAATATTTAATCGTGTGTGTGATTTATTTTACTTAACATTATGGTCTCAAGGTGAAGCCATTTTCCTACAAATGATTCAAATTTATCATTCTTTATGGCAGAGTATACTCCATTGTGTATAACACCACATTTTCTTTATCAATTCATCTCACAGACATATAGGCTGCTTCTAGGATTTAGCTATTATGAGTTGTGGTGCTATATGGGTATGCATGTAATATATGATGTCTTTAACACTTTCAGGAAGATGTGTAGAAGGGGAGTAGCTAGATCAAATGGAATTTCTATGTTTTACTTTTAGTGTTTTGAGGAATTCCGTACTGATTTCCATAATGGTTATACTAGTTACATTCCTGTCAACAATGTAGAAGGATTCCTTCCCCCCACAGCATTTCCAGCATTTGATATTATTTAATTTTTTGATGATAGCCATTCTTTCTGGATTAAGATGTTGTTTCACTTTGCATTGCTTTAATGGCCAAAGACACTGAACATTTTTTTCCTTTATTTATTGGCTATTTTACTTCTGAAAAGTGTCTATTCATTTCAGTTGCCCATTTTTTTTGATTTGGTCTTTTATTTTAGGGGGTCTGATTTTTTAAAATTCTTTATATATTCTAGATATTAGTCCTCTGTTTGAGGAATACATGGCAAAAATCTTTTTCCATTCTATAGAAATGGAATTGTTTGTTTTCTTTGCTGTTCAGAAGCTTTTTAATTTGACCTAATCTCATTTGTTGATTCTTGATATTATTTCTTGTGCAACTGGGGTTCTACTCAGAAAGTCCTTGCCTGTGCTTATGTCTTCAAGAGTTTTACCATTTTTCCAGCAGATTGTTTCTGTTTTAACATTTGAATCTTTGATCCATTTTGATTGTAGTTTAGTACATGGTGAGAGAAATGGGTCTATTCTATTCAGTCTCCTGCTTGTGGATAGGCAGTTTTCCCAGCCCCATTTGTTAAAGAGGCTATCTTTTCTTCATTGTATATTTTGGGCCCCTTTTTCCAAGATCGAATGGCTGTGTGTGTGTGCCTGAGGTTCTTTCTTTTTTTCTTTTCTTTTTTTTTTGTGGTGATCGAACTCAGGAACTTGTGCTTGGGAGGCAGGGGCTGCACCACCGAGCTATATCCCCGGCCCAGTGCCTGAGGTTATTTCTGCATCCTCTGTTCCATTCCATTGATCCACATGTTTGGTTTTTTTTGTACCTGTAAAATGCTGTTTCTTTTATCATTATAGCTTTGTAATGTAACTTGAAATCTGGGATTGTGATGCCACCTGCTTTGCTTTTGTTGCCCAGAATTGCTTTTGCTATTTTGGGTCATTTTTGGTTCTATAGGAATTTTAGGATTATTTTCTCTAGTATTCTGAGGAATGCTGTTTGTACATTGATTGGAATTGCTTTAAATGTATTATCAGTTTGGGAGTATGGCTGTTTTGATAGTATTGGTTCTGCCTATCCGGAAATAGGGGGTAACTTTCTGTTTTCTGATGTTTACATGAATCTTTTTCAGAGTACTGTGGTTTTCATTAATACAGTTATTTTACTTCCTTTGTTAGGTTGATTTCTAGATATTTAATTTTTAAAGCTATTGTGAATGGTACTGTTTTCGTAATTTCTTTTTCAATAGGTTATTGGTGTACAGCAATGCCATTGATTTTTGTGTGTCGATTTTGTGACCTGCTATCTTGTTTAATTTATTAGTTCTGGGAGACTTCTAGTTGAATCTTTTGAGTCTTCTATGTAAAGAATCATGTGTGCTAATAAGAATAATTTAACTTTTCCTTTCTTATACACATACTATATACCATTTCTTTCTTTCTCTTGCCTATTTGCTTTGGCTAAAATTCCAAGTACTATATTAAACAGGAATGGTGAAAGTGGACATCTTTGTCTTGTTCTTGATTTCAAAGGTAAAGGAAAAGCTTTCAATTTTTTCCCCATTTAGCAGTAGTTTGTTGTAAATGGCTTTCATCAGATTGAGATAAGGTCCCCTATACTTCTTTTCTTCAGGGTTTTTATCATGAACAGATATTGGATTTTGTTAAAGTCTTTTTCTGTGTCTGTTGAGATGATAATGCAATTTTTGTCCTTCTGTTCATGTGATGTTTTACATTTATTGAGTTGAACGATCCTTGCATACCTGGGATGAAGAGTCACGATCTTTTTAATGATTTATTGGTTTCTGTTTGCCAGCGTCTTCTTGAGGGTTTTTGCATCTATTTTCACTAAAAAGATTGACCTGTAGTTTTTTCTTTTAGCTTAATCCTTGTCTGGTTTTCGAATCAAGGTAATGCTTACTTCTAGGAATAAATTTGGCAGTATTCCTCCCCTTTCAATTTCATTTAAGAGTTTGAGGAGTATTGGTATTAGATCTTCCCTGAAGTTCTAGAATTCAGTGGTGAATCCGTCTGGTTCGGCTTATTAGTTGGTAGGTTTTTCTTTTAAATACTGCTTCAATTGCCTGTTACTGGATTATTCAGGGTTTTTGTCTTCTTGGTTCAGTATCTAGGAGTCTATTTAGTATCTAGGAGTCTATTTAGTATCTAGGAGTCTATTTTTTCTGGATTCTTCAATTTATTGGAGTACAGGTTTTCAAAGTAGTTACTAATAATCAGAAGTGTTTTTATTTTTTACTGCAATTTCAGGGCTAGACTTTTTGAAGGGAATTCTTTTTTCTCTACCCAAAGTGATCTTTTGGATTTGTGAAATGTATTTTATTACCTTTCTTTTCCTTTAAATCTTTACTGTCTAAATAACCACACAGAAGTACACTGTCATGTTAAAATTGTAACAATTTACTTGTACAGTAATCTGATGCTTTTATAGTTGCATTTTTCCAAAGGGTCCTTTGACTGGTTTTGAGTTGATAACTGTATGAAGACAAAGAATTTAATACTACAAAAAAGTAGAGACCCTTTTTCTGGTGTATATTGATAAATAGCTCTTTTAGACATTTTCTTATTTCCATTGTTTTTTGTCTTGTAAGAGGTATCTTTCATGAGGAATAAATTGTACTTGGTCTTGTTCTTTATAGAATTTCAAGTGAAAATTAAAACAAAGCAAGATGAAACTTCTGGTACAATGCCTTCCCAAGAAAACAAACACATCCCTCCAAAAATTTTTATATTCTGTTTATACATTGTACGTGAAAGAATACTTATCTGCAGTTTGATATTATTAGCATGTCCAAGGCCTAGGATAGGTAGGGGATCCAGTTATTGCCATTGAAAAGAGACTTACAATTGTGAGCACACTTAGTGAAAGGGCTGTTAGCAATGCAAATGCCAGGTTACATCTGATAGAGAGTAAGCAAAACGGTAAGCCTGTTTATGTTATATTTAAGATGAGAAAATGGCTTTGGCTCTTCTTTTTGACTTTGAATAGCCTTGGAACTATTTTATTCTTCTTATCTCTTATCACACCAGATTTTTGTATAGGTTTAAATTATTCTCAGGATTTGGGCAGTCAGTATTAAGTACTCAGAGAATTTAATAAAAATTAGCATTTTTGTCTTTCTCACTAGATTTAAACCTAACTTTTGAAAATAGTGGTATAGTTATGTCACACTTTAGTACTTTAAAATCTTGACAAAACAGAGTGTGGAAGTATTACTCCAGGGTGAGCATCTTTGAACTGTTGGAGTCCTTTCTGTTTGTCAAGTCAGGAGATGGAGATACAGGAAATACTGATCAGATAATATTGTCTGGCACATGATAGGAACTCAAATATTTGTTTATTGGAAAATGTTGACTGGAACCAAGGGAGATGACACTCCTGTGCACTGATCATTAAGTATTCTTCAGTGAAAACTTCTGCTCTCTTTGGTTTTTGTGCCAGAAAAATATTAACCCCTTATTTAGAATTGTTATTGAAAGCATAAATTCATTTATGTGTTCTCATTTATTGTTTCTTATAGTATGTAATAGATATATTGGTACAATGAGTTTTTCTAGTACTTATTTATTTATTTTTTTGTTACCGGGGATTGAACTGCGGACCTGTGCTTGCAAGGCAGGCGCAGTGCCACTGAGATATGTCCCTGGCTTCTAGGACTTATTTTTAAGGACTACCATTGACAATTCCTTTTTAAAGTGAAAGTCATTTTCACATTGTGTGTGTGTGTGTGTGTGTATCTATTGTTGAATTTACTTGAGGCAGAGTACATCTCTCCTGGATAGTGAGTTCAAAGTGACTAGTGTGATACATGTCACAGCTTCACCCTAAGTGAACAAAGGTCCACATTCACCTTAGTGGGAAGCAGTTGTCTGTGTACCAGTCTCTCTTCACCCAAAGTTTTGTACTCCTGGTTTCATTTATCCACAGTCTAAAAAAATAATGAATAAAAAATTTTAGAAACAAAAAAATTTAAATAACTTTTATTATAGTATATTGTTATACTTGTTCTGTTTTATTTTACTTTCTTACGTGTCTAGTTTATAAGTTAAACTTATCATATATATGTATATATGGGGAAAAACAGTCTCTATTGGGCTTGGTGTCAAGCATCCACTGGGGATCTTGGAATATATACTCTACAGATGAGGGATTATTACAGGTTTTTTTTGTTGGTGGTGTTGTTCTGTTCTTTGCTTTTGACCTCTTGGTTGTGGAGAACATACAGGATTATTACCTCTTTGATCATCTGAGTAATATAGTTTTCCCTGTTTAGCTGGAACTCCATATAGCCAACATTTTGGATGCTATGAGAAGGGCTGTTTTTCCCTTTCTTGCTGTGTGGAGTGAATAGATTCCTCTAGCACAATGCATTGTATTGTAGTTTACAGTGTGGAAAAGTGTAGTACAATCCATTGAAAACAGTGTAAAATTTTCTAGGACTTTTCATGTGCAACCAGAATGTGACTGTCTTGATATAACAGATGAAGTTAGTTGTGGTTAACACGTGTTATAGTAGTAGAGGCCTACCTGATAAAGTTTTTGTTCTTTGTTGAGGACTATACAGTAAAATAATAGAGATATGTGAGGAAAATGAGAACTGGAATGCAGGCCAAAAGTTGGTCCTTTCAAATCTAAGACTACGTAGCATCACATTATCTGTTAAACAAGTGTGCCTGGTGGTGGCTGGTCCTCTGTGCTCTCTCATGCTCCTTTCTCTTCTCACACACAGTTGTCAGTCATTTGGTGGTAAAGTAGCCCAACTGTACACTTCTACATTTTGGAGTAGAAAGAGAGAATCTTTTCCTTCTCAATTTTTCTGTAATATTTTCTCACTGGAATTACATGGATATCCTTATTGCCCCTTGGCCTGGTACTCCCTTCTACATTCATAATCTTGAGAGATGCATTTTTACTTATGATCTGAGACTTATCTAGGGTTACACAGCAATCGATAACACAATTAGCTGGACTGTAATGGTCCTGACAGTTTTATTTCTTTAGCAGTTTTTTCTTTTTCCCCAAAGTGGTATATTGTATAGCAATAAACTTGTGATGCCTGATGTGTAGATATGTGTAGAAAGAAAAAAATTGGTATGTGGGATGCAAGAGGATATAGGTAGAAACTTAAGGGAGCTAATTTGCAGTGAATTAAAATGCAGGGATCTACAAAGCCAGGAAACACATTAAACTTAGTTTCAAACAGTGTTAAGTTTCACTTTCAAGTAACATGCTCAGTATAATTTAACCTCGTGTTTCCTAGTGAAGTTTCTCTAATTTCAAAGCTGTGGATGTAGCTACTAATCTGAAAGTCATACAATAAATACAAAGTCCCAAAACCCTGAACACACAAGGAAATTATTGTGCTTATAAATTGAGCATGTTATTGAAAATAGCATGCATACAATTTTAAAACTAAGCAATAACTTACTATCTAAAAATAAGTTTGTTCTATGTTTTTTGAATTCTCAGACACCCTGTATTCTGTTTCTGTTTAAATTTTCCTTTCCTTTCATCTGTCAGGCATAGTGATAGAATAACTTTGTACAGACAACAAAGAGACTAGGCAGCTGACAAGCAGCCCCCTCATTGGGTTAAGGATCTGGGCAGTTTGGAGGTGGAAGGGTAATGAAAGGCAGGTGATGGAAGTGGAGGATGGAATGGCTGGCTGGCTGGCTGTCTCTTTTCACTGCAGCAGCTGGCTGGAGACACAGTTGAAACCTTGTTCTTGAGTGAATAAAGACCTGGAAGGTCAATAACTCTAGCATAACTACTATTTTAATGATTCTCATGGTTCTTATTTTAATATAATACCTAATAATAGGAACTTTTTTCTTATATATGCTAATGCCTTTTGAATCTGTTTATGTAATAGGACATCTTTTTAAGAAAAATGAAAATTGATGTTAAAGGCAGAAACATTTCTAAGGAAAACTACATTATTGAAATGTAAATATATCTGCCAGGTAAAATGTTGCTCTTTGCTAAAACAGAGAATCTCTGATATTTATTGATAAAAAGTCTTCTAAACTGAATAAAGGTATTTAGAACAAGCATGGTGGTGAAAAGTGTACATAACCCAGGCAGAGAGGAAAGAAGATTGATGAAGGGTAAAATGATACCATCACTCCTATAAAACTTCATTACTAGTCAGTTACTTTAATTTTGTATAGTTGAATCTTTTTTTTTGTTTTGTTTTTTGGCACCAGGGATCAAACTTGGGACTTTGTGATTGCAAGGCAGGTGGCGGCACCACTGAGCTAAATCCCTGGCCCTGTATAGTTGAATACTAATTCATGGGATTAAAGATTGACAGATGACTAATTTTTGATAGTGAGGGCATTGTTTCTTTTTGCTAGGATAAAACTTTGAATACTGTATAGATGAGATATTGGAATTTGTGTCTCAAAAGCTGGTGAAATAAATTTTAGATCCATAGGGCCACTTATAAATGGATTTCACTTCATATTTTTAACACTTTCCCCTTAGAGCTTAGAAATATATTATGAGGAAGCTCTAGCAGTCCTGAGGCTGGACTCTGTGGTTTGTGCAGCCCCTTCTACATATCTGTAGGCCACAGTGGAATATCTCATCCCAAATGGCAAAACACTGTAGACATGGACAACACATTTATGGGTCAGTAGTGTTTGGCATTATCTTTTCAAAAAGGCAGTTGTAAATGTATTGTATACCTAAAATATACCAATACAAGAATTTAAGAAAAAGGCAATTAGAATTTTGAGAGGATTGGTATCAAAAGTGGCAAAAAGAAAAATTTTAGTGTTTAAAGTTGTCTCCAAAGCTAGTGTGTACTGCTGAGTTGTCAGGGAAATGCTCATACCTGCCTATAGCTGAAGCTTAACTATTTCTATTTCATTTTTTGACTTATATTTTTTATTTCTGGGTTAGATGATGCTGAGTAAAACATTGAAAGTCATCAGACTTGATAGAAAGAATACTTGCTTTGTAGTTAGGGAGACCTGGATTGGATTCTGATTCTAATCCTTACTCCCCTTGTGACCTAGGGCAAATTACTAAACTCTTCTGAGCCTCAGTTGCATTAATTGAGATAACTTTTATTTAGTTTGAAGGCCACTACTTGGGAATTCTGTCAGTCTTAGTGCTTTTTTCTCTCTCATTGTGTCATGGGAATCCCCATACTGTATACAGCACACCTTGTCCTACATAGCTAGGCTCTTCCACTGAAAATCCTCCTGAAACTCAGTACTTTTGGGAGCTTCCCCCCAGCCCCTCTGCCCTAGGGACAGGGGGCTACAAAACCCCAGTAGCCATAGTACCATGTCCACTTGCATGGCTTTTAAGGAGCAGCTACCTAGCTTTTTTTTTTTTTTTTTTGGTACCGGGGATCGAACTTGGGTTCTTGCGCTTGAGCAGCAGGTGGTGAAACCACTGAGCTAAATCCCCGGCCCATACCTAGCTTTTGAATAGAGGCAAATACTATTGGTACCTGGTTGAATTTGTTTTATGGTTAGTTTTGGATAGGGGTTCTCAGGGTCTAGAGAGAGCCTTCCTGATAGCCATACTTCCTGCTGGACATGGTGGGGGAATAGGAGATAATGGGAACATTGGCACTGTCATTATCCAGCAATTGAACATTGCTACAGATGGGAAGTATATGGAGTCAGGTTTGCATTTGCCTTTTATACATTACATACTAACTGGGGACACATTTTTTATGCTTTGAAGTTGTGAAAAGTTATCTTGCCTTCATTCTAAAATGATGGCTATCTGCCCCAGATATGCCATTTATTTTAGAGTGCTGCATCAGGGAAACACAGACCTTTGGTTGATCCCCAGTGCATCAGTGGACATTTCTCTTCCTACTTCTGAGTGATTTTTCTTTTGCCTTTGTGCCTTGGCAGGTTTTTTTTCTCTCTGTTTAAACAAGGATAAATAAATACTTCCTTTAGCTGAGCTGTGGCTGTTTTACATGGATTGGTGATTGTAAAGCTTTTCTGAGCAGGTGTGGAGCAATGAATAGTCTTTAATTTCATTTTTTGACTTACATTTTTAAAAACAACCTCTTCTGCAACAAATGGTGGAATTCTATGTCCACACTCTTTTTCAGTCAATAGTTAATGGTTTTTCCATACTTCCCAGCTGCTTATCATGGGCATAGCTGACAAAACCAGAAGAGCTTTTCCAGTAAGGTGAGCTGAGCTGGCGTTTGAGTAGGACAAAGGGCTTTGGTAGAATTAGGGCTTTGACAAAGTGAACAAATGTAAAGGCAGCTGGAAACTTGAGTGTTGCTAATCAGGAATATATTTCAAGATTCTGAAGTTTCCAAAACATGTGTGTACTTAAGAAAAATAATCCAACAACTTGTGGGTTAATAGATTTTCCTGTTTTAAAAGTTTCTTTGTGTGGGTTTAAAAAAATGTTTTTCATACTTTTGAATAATTTACTTTCTTGGGGAACATTATTAGCTCTCATTTTATTTTTGAGACTGTTTAGCCATGTGTTCCTGCCAAATGCCCTCTCTCCACCTCAGTCATTTATGGCAGGTTCATTTATCTTTAGTTGCTAAGACTCTTTTCAAGGGAGCATTTGCCTTTCATTGTGTTATTTATGATATTGATAATGAGCACTAGGTAGAGTTCAAAGGGCCTTCTTCTGATTCTTGAGAGTTTATTTCTCTGCTTTTAGTGACTTATGTCTGAAAACAGCTTTCTACAATAGATGGGCCATCTGCTTTTGGGGGACATTTACTTTTTCCTCAAATTAACAAATGGCTAGTATTAGTAATAAGATATAGTTAATCTGCTGTCCCAAACAAACAGCATAGTTACCTAAGTTGCCTGAAAACTGAAGACTGATCATTCTGTGTCCTTTTCCATTTGTTCTCATGCTAGAGAAAATTACAATTATTTCAATTAAGATTCCTTCACTGGACAAATTAATTACATATTTTAAATGGAGAATATAAAGAAATGATAGAATAATCCTTGTATAAAAGTTATGTAGTAGGAAAGTGCTGCTCTTTGAATGAACTGGGTGCTATTCTGTAGAACTGTTAAAAGCACTTAAATGTTCTACAAATGTATTTGAAATTAGTTTGAATTAATGCTTATGAGTTACTATTTGAAAAACAAAATAACCTACAAAACTATCTTTTTTACTCCTTTTCCACTTTGAAAGATGGAATAGTTTACATTTTTGTTTTGTTTTGTTTTGGTACCGGGGATCGAACTTGGGCCCCTGCACTTGCGAGGCAGGTGACGGAACCACTGAGCTAAATCCCTGGCCTGGAATAGTTTACATTTTAAAATGTTACTTGATAAGCATAACTCCTTGAAAAACCACTCCTGTATTAGCTGAACAGCTCCTACATACCAACATGTCCTTTAAGATATAAGAAACAAGGGCCGGGGATTTAACTCAGTGGTTCTGCCGCTTGCCTCGCAAGCACAAGGACCGGAGTTCGATTCCTGGTACCAAAAAAAAAAAAAAAAAAGATGTAAGAAACATTCTGGATTTACACTGTCTTCTCAAATTGGAATATATTTGGAGTGATTTTGGAGGTGACATTCTTGTTCCAAGAGAGGCTTGGTTGAAATGTTCATGACAAACCTGCCATGTGATGCTGAAGATGATGGTACTGATAATGTTAAGTGCCACATAATGTTCTAATGGTTTTACCTTTTTATTTAAAATATTGAACAACTTGTGAAAAATATTGAACAATTATGCTACTTAGGCATAGACATTAAGTGATTTGTCCATGGTCACACAGCTGGTATATGACTGAGCAGCCATTTAAGCTCATACAGTGGGCTTAAAAAAGTTGATGCCCTTTAACCACTTTGCTGGATAGTGATTGAAAGCTTTGAATTTTCTTCGGTTAGATTTATACTTTGTACATTTTGCTACTAGGAAACCTAAAAATGGAAGTCCATAGTGTACATAGAATTAGAAGTAATTACAAAATTTAAAAACTTGACAAAATTGTGAAATTCTGAACTTGAACTTGGTTCCTCAGTCACCAGAAAGACTTTGGCCTGTCTTTTGAGTCATTTTAGATGAGTGGTGGTTTGTTCTTTATTTAAAAGAGCTCATAATGCACTTTGGCATATTGGGACACATGCTCCCAAAGCTGATTCAGGGAGTAGAAATGACAGAAGAGATGGAAAAAAATCAAGTAGGTATGGTGGCACATGCCTGTCTGTGATCTCCGCACTCAAAAGGCTGAGGTAGAAGGATTACTGTGAGTTCAAGGTCAGCCTGAACTACATGTGAGACCCTGGCTCAAAAAAAAAGCTATTATCTGTCAGTGAAATCTTGGTCTGTTCTTCCCCCTTTAAGGCAGTCTCTGTGGCTCCTCTGGCATAGTTAGGGCTCATCACTTCAGGAATGTGTTCCCTCACTCGAGACTTGTTTTCCTGGTACAACATTTGTGTACTGAAGTGCAAGTATACTTTTCTTACACCTTTAAGAGCTTTGCAGTTTAACAGAGAAGCTAGGGAAGTGAAAATGCAATGATTCAAAGAGTAAATGCATTTGGAAACTATCTTGTGGAGGGGAAAATGAAACAGTTTAAGTCTCAGAATACAGTTTTGACAGATTTAATTCCATTCTGTGCCCGTTTTCTGTGTTTGTGGTATTAGTCTTCCTGTATAACTGTCAGTGTTGTCAGTAGAGGTTACAGCAGGCCACAGATATATCTTGATGAGAACATGCTAGGCTGAGACAAATTTTTATGCTGCATGCCATGTATGTACTACCCTTGATGTACAAAAGGGTGCATGTAGTTTTAGATCTGGGAACCAAGAAAGCAGGTCTTTTGGCTAATCGGGGGGAATTTCTGTAATGAGAATGTGCCATTAATGACATTTCTTTAGGGCATTTATAGCATAAGGCAGAATGGAATTTTCCTTTCTTCCATCCTATTTGCCACTGAGCTTGCTTTCTGCTGCATCTTTATTCTGTCTCCTTCTCCTGATTCTGTTAATCCGCCTGCCTGCATGCCAATCTGTCTCCTTACCTATAGGAATCCTATCTTCCCTAATGTATTCAAGGGCAGTTAGGCTGCTGTAATGAGTAGTGTGCTACATTTAAGAAGTGCTTTTTTTATTTTTATTTTTTTTACTAGGAATTGAACCCAAGGCCTTCACATTAAGCTATACCCTTAGCTCTTTTGGTTTGTTTATTTTTTTATTTTGATGCAGGGTCTTGCTAAGTTGCCTAGGTGAGCCCGAACTTGCAATTCTCCTACATCACCCTCCCTTAGTACTGAGATTGCAGGTGTGGGATTTTATAGTCCAGCTTCCTCTGTGAATATGCTTCAAGATTATATTACCCTCTGTGTTAGTCCATTTTTTTTTGTTATAACTGGATAAATTATTTAGCTAATGTTTCTGGAGACTGGGAAATCCAAGATTGAGGGGCCAAATCTGGTGAGAGCCTCATGCTGAGTCCTAACATGGCAGAAGGTCAGACAAGTGTGTGTGTAATAGAAAAACTGGCCAGACTCATCCTTTCTATCAGGAACTCACTCTCATGGTAACTAACTCTCCTGTGGTAGTGGCATTGACTTATTCATGAGGGCAGATCCATCATGACCTAATCATCTCTTAAAAGTCCCATCTCATAGACTGTTACGGTAGCAATTAAATTTCACCCTAAGTTTGGGAGGGGACATTCAAACCATAGTGCTCTGATAGGTTATTAAGTGTCTTTTTGTTTTAACATTGAAAATTTGATGAAGTACTTATTCCACATAGAAAGAAGTTAATTTAAATTGATAGGGTGGTTAGAGAAATATGTAAGATTTATACATCCTATGTGTAACGTTTTTAGCCTTCAAAGCTATATTTTCAGATAGTTTTAATGAATTTGGAGTGAGTAGCTTTTTCTTGATTGCTCTGTTGTAGTAAACAGAAAACAATACACGATAGCTACATAATTACATACGTGGACCCACTTAACTCTTTCTCCCCTACCTTTTGCCCTATAAAATAGTGTCTGAGATAGATGTGCCTGTGCTAGAATGTATCTTCTAAAAATATTTTTTTCTGATTATGTGAAAAATTGATCTTTCTATAGGGTTCAGCCCTAAAAGTTAGTGAAGAAGCAAAAGTCACAGTTAACAGTTTGACAATACAGGAATTGTCACTTTCATAGTTTGGCAGTACATATGCATGTAATGTTCATGTTCACATCCCAAAACATACACGTGTGTCTCTCATGATATAATGTGAATGAAGTTGTATAAAGTCACATGCTATTTATCAGCCTTTTATTTTTTCACTCAATTTGTTGTGGTTTTCTTTCCATGTTAATGAATATGATCTAAAATGGCTGAGTTGTGCTTTATGTTATGCTTCATAATCAGTTTCTCAGTGCCCTTTTAATAGGTATTTAGTCTGCAGTTTTTCTCTTTGAACAACTCTACACTAAGTATATTGGCATATTAATCTTGCCCACTTAATTTGGGGACAAATTTCTACAAGTGGAACTATTTATGTATTTTTTTGTAAATATAATTATACTTTAACTCTTGCAATATATTGTGAAGTACATAATTTTGTGTAGTCAGAATTCCCATAGAACTGATGATTTGCCCCTTGAAGCATTTAAACTGTGCCCTGTTAGACTAAATGTACTGAGCATCCAGATATATAGGCCTATTCCTGGACTTTAAGGTTGTCTAGTATGCTTTTAATAGTTTTTGAACATTTTTTTCTTACCACCTCTTTCAAAAAATTTGATGAGGCCGGGGCCTCATAAGTCCAAGGTTCTGAGTTCGATCTCTGTACAGAAAAACAAAACAAAACAAAACAAAAAGTGATGCTTTTATTCTGCAAGGGAGGTTAGAAACCAGAAAACCAATCTTATTGTATGATGTATAAAATAGAAGCAAGCAACCTATGTCAAAGTCTTTGGAATGTTCCAGTAGGGATGGGAAGGGAAAGTTATTGGCTAGTTGCATTTTGCCTAGGTAAGGACTTCTTTTAATTTGAAGGATATTACTATATCCCACTGGTTTAGATTATTTTACCAAGTAGAATGAGGAATGTAGGAGATAAGGTGATACAGATTGAGGCAAGCTTTGATGATTAAAAGAAAACCCCCCTTCTTCAGATTGGGGTCCTTTTGCCCCAGAAAGTGCTGGTGAAGTGTCTGCCTCCCAAGTCCTTCTCCTCTTGGTGGATCTCACTTGTATTGCTCTCACTTGGGAGACTGTGCTCTCGTTTCTGGCCATGTTCCCAGGTCACTGGGCCATTCAGTTTCTTTTTAGGGGCTGGGAGTGAGGAGTCATCCAAGTCCTATCTGTATGGGCCCTGGCACCCACTGCAGGAGAAGAGTTCCCTGGGCTTCTGAGCAATATTGGTCTTCCTTTAGTATTGACTGCTTGCTTTATGCCAGTGCTGGCTGAATCCTGGGAATGCGAAGCTGACTCAGACCCTTCCCCATCTGGCTGCTCACTGGGTAGAAAGCAAGTCAGCCTCAAAGAATTTAGGTTGATTGACAGCACATTAAGTACATTCTAAGTGGTGTGTATGGATTATCTTTCTTCCTGGGAATCTCTGAAAGCTTCCAAAAAGAACTTGGACCCAGTACTGGAAAATGAGAGGAGTTGCAAGGCATGTACTGTTGGGAGAGGGAGAAGTGGTGGCCAGAGGGGATGGTATGGAAAGACATTTTAAGCAGCAGGTAAAGCTTGCATAAGTTTGAAGGTATGAAACAATAACCTCCTTTTTATAATTCAGGTTACTCAGTATAGCTCCTATGGTTGTCCACCAATGTTGGAGGAGCATGGTGGCAGGGAAGGCAGACCAGTCCACGGGGTCAGAACTTGTGTGCCATGAAGACTTAGACTTGATTCTCTGGGGCCGATGGAGTGCTGTCATGAGGCTTTAATTAGTCTGCCTTTATTTATGGGCACAGTCACGATGAACAAAGGAGAGCCCATTGTGCTCATTTTAAGGAGTGATGAAACCCCATTTATAAGTTAGAGGATGTGTTAAGCATTGGTACCACAGTACATTTATAAAGTGACTTATCCTGTCAGCAATGCTATCATGCCTGGAAGGTAAGCAGAAAGAATCCTTTTAATAAAGGGGGCCCATTGCAGACAGGTTGTGTAACTGCTAATTGCTGAGCACACGTTTTTGAAGGCAGTCCCACCTAGGTTCAGAAAACCTGGGGGAAGGATACACACAGGTGTGGGGGTAGTACAGGGTGTCTTCTTGCCCAAGACAAGAGAGATAGCAGGCTAAGAACAGGTAAGAACAGACAGGTAAGAAGCCATTTGCTGTGCATTGATTTTTTTTCCCCATTCATACCTACACATAGATATGGTTCTGTCAAGGTGTCATCTTTGAATACTGTGTTAAGCAGTATGAGAGTTAAGATAAAAATCAATGATTTAATTGATTAAATGAGCACAGGGCTAGACACATGGTAATAGCTCAGTAAATACTAAATTGATTTTCTTAAAACCTGGCTTTCAAATAAAATTATTTGAAATGTTGAAAAACACTTGGTTAAAAAATTCTATGCTGCTTTTTGATATGGCAGGAGATTAAGATTTAGAATTTCAAATTTATAAATTAAGACATTTTATTCGCTTGACCTTTTCACCAGAGTTTTATAAGTAAGACACAATAGACCATAGGATATATTAGTATAGTAATCAAATATTAAAGTGTTCTCAGAGAATTTATTTCTCTATAGAATTATTCAGATGGAGTAAATTGCTTTATTTGGTGTGGGTCAGTGGGCTGTTGACTTTGAATGTCTCATTAAATGCTACATAGTTTTTGAGGGAGTATTGATTTAAGGCTTTTTAAATCAGTATATTGCCTGGAAACGAAATCTAGAAAGTTTGTAACTTTTTTTTCCCCAGCAGTAGGTTTGGAACTGAGGGGCACTGTGTCACTGAGCTACATCCCCAGACCTTTTAAATTGTTTTATTTTTAAATTTTGGGTCAAGAGTTAGCTAAGTTGCCCAGGTTGGCCTTGAACTTTTGATCCTCCTGCCTCAGCCTCCCAAGTAGGTTGAATTACAGATCTTCTTTGTAAGACTGAAAATACCTGATAAGAAGTTACAGTCTGTGGTGGTACACACCTGTAATCACAGCAGTCAGGAGGCTGAGTTAGGAAGATTGCTGTGTATTTGAGGCCAGCCTGGACCACATAGTGAGTTCCAGGCTCACCTGAACATTACATAATGAGACCCTGTCTCAAAAGAAAAATCAAAACAAAACAAACAAAAAGGTACACCCTGTGTTTGGAAGCAGACAGGATCTTGGCTGAGCTGGACCAGAAATCTGGGCTAGGGTTCCCTTTGCACCTCTGCCACATACAGGTAGCTTTGTGCCTTGTATGTACAGACGCTCTTATACTTAAGGCGTCATGCTCCAAAAAACCCACCCTAAGTTGAAAATACTAAGTCAAAATGCATTTAATACACCTAAACTACCAGACATCACAGCTTAGCAATGTGGTAGACTGTAATGTTGGTTGTTTGTGGTCATGATCATGTAGGGGACAGGGAGCTGGGACTCACTGCTGGCTCCTGTGTTTGCCTGGCACCACCAGAAAGTATTGCAGTGTGTACTGTTTTCCTGAGAAAAGATAAGAATCTGAAGTACAGCTTCTACTGAATGGCTGTCGTGTTTTGCACCACTGTGAAGTTAAAAAATCAAGCTGAACCATCTTAAGTCAGGGGCTGTCTGTTTGTATGACTTGTCTCCATTGTCTTCATATTCCTCATTTATAAAATTATTCTAGCAACACTTAAAATCCTCAGGACCTTACAGGTTTATTGTGAGAATTAAGTGTTTTTATTCAAATGTGAATGGAATATTTTATTTAGCTTGCAAAGTGCTATACAGATGTCAGATGGTAGTGTTTTATTCAAATGTGAATGGAATATTTTATTTAGCTTGCAAAGTGCTATACAGATGTCAGATGGTAGGGTAGTGTTAATGTCAGATTTTTTAAGTGGCATTTTATAATATTAAACTGCGGTCCAGTTGGTCTGGTTTAAGTAGTTCAAAGAATAAAAGGGGAGGGGAAACCTATTATACATAAACTAGACATTTTAGAACATAAGTTTTTGGTTGGATTTTTTATTTGTGGCCTAATAAATCTAGGAAGAAAATAAAAGCTTTGGGGGAGACCAGGAATAGTTAAAATGAACTGTTCTTTAAATATCATCCAGTTATTTCTTATTAAGTTGCTAAACTGGAGATAGTTAATCTTTTAGGAGTATTATAATACCCATAAATTTATTTGCCATTATAGTGTTTAAAAATTATTTCCAGTTTAGAAGCTAGGGAGGTAACTCTCAGAGAGGGTATGATTACCCATGATTGTCCTAACAGTGAGTAGTAGGGAGACCTGGAATTAAAACCTTTTTGCCTTTTTGTCAATGTCTGCCTGAGTTTGTGTTACAAAGTAAGCAAACTGTTCACTACTTTTTGGTATTGATTTAAACTCAATCTAAAAACCATTGAATTAATTCAAGATAGATACCACCTAAAAGAAAAGTTATGTTTGTTGTAATATATATCTTCAGCATCTTACAAAAATGTATTTGTATAGAGCAATAATCAAAATGATTTTTCTTAACTTTATGAGTTAATCACTAACAAATTTGATCCTAAATCACGTTCACCTTCAGTGTTATAGTAGAAGTCAGTGAAGTGCCTTTGGAGGTGGCAGTGAACACTGTAAATCTTCATTTCAGGAGAAAAGTGGCAGTTTGTTTCTGTTGGTCTGCACGTGTTGTGAATCCATGCCCTGAATGGGGAACTTCCAAGGTCAGTAGCATAGGCAGCCTGTCAGTGACAGCTAAGCTGTTAAGAGGTGGCTTTTGAAGGGGATCGAGTCTTTGTTGCCTGTTAAGCTCACGAACTCCAGATGTAGAGAATTAATTCAGTGGTCCACATCCGCTGAATCCAGATTGAGAGGAAATAGTTTTATCCCACTGCCAAGCACAAAAAGAGAATTTAACCATCATTAACACAACTACTCTAGGCTTCCCAGTTACCTTCCCAGTTACCTTCTATCCTCATTCCCTCCTGCTTCGCTTTAAGCTTTGGTTACAAAACAACATCTCTTCAGCTTTTCAGAGTGACACTTCTTGCCACATGGTACCTATGACACTCTTGAGTGAACGTAAGTCCCACCCACTCCTTTCCTGTGGTTCCAGTTGTTGACGGGGGCATTCTTACATTGATCTTCTTGAGCAACTCTAGCAGGCAGTATTGTATACTGGTTAAGATTTTGGGACTTCAAGTTTTAGGTTTGAATCCTGGTTGTAACACATAGTAGCTTTGAGCCTTGGCAAATAATTTAATCTCTTGGAGCCTTGTTTTCTTCATCTGTAATATGGGAATAAAATTTACCTTATCAATAAGCTTGTAAAGTGCTTAGCACACTGTACTGGTCTTTAGCACTACAGAGGTTCATTGAAATTTTTAAGATTAAGCCAAGCATTGTGTGATTTCAATTCTGAGGATACTATACTGCTCTCTGAATAGGGAATATACTGAATTTGTAGATTGGTGTCATTAGAATGGTTATTGGTGAGAGAAGAAAAGATGATTTTGAGTTTATGGCTGAATGATAGTGAGTTGTATATGGCTACCATAAAAGATGAGCAAAGACTTATTTTAAAATGTATTTTGATTGAAAACATTGAATTTGTCTGATTATATATTAAATCCTTGAATGCATTTGGGTTGAGAAAATTGCAGATACTGACATTCCAGTTTCTCTTACACACTGAAACTTCTCCTTCTTTCCCAGTTGTCTTAGTTACTTTCTTTCTGGTTGCTGAGACAAAATACTTGACAACCACAACCTAAAGAAAGCTCAAAGTTTGTAGAGGTTCTAGTCCACGTTGGCTGGCTCCAAGGCAGGGCATCGTGGCCAAGGAAAAACGGTTCATGGCATGGTGGCGGGAGGCAGAGAGAGATCACGAGAAGAGGAAGGGAAATATATCCAGGCCCCAGTGACCCACCTCCTCTGACCAGACCTTACTCCCAACATCATATTTAGCTATAAACTTATTGGTGGATATATCCTCTGATGAGTATCATGCCCCCATTTTCTAATCACCTCTCAAAAGGCCCATATATGAGCACATTGGGCTTTGTGTGGACATCTAGCTATAACCCATAACACCAGTGTAGAGTCCATCTCTGTTTGGGCCAGGGGGATTATAAGATCCTCCTTTACCTTTTCCAGGATCTGTCTGCATTTACTGATTTGGACATCAGGTTTCAGTACAAGGAGCCATTAATCCTTGTGGGCCCAGGGGGCCTGAGTCCTCTGGTTGCAAAGCCCTTAGAGCCGACCTTACTGGGGAAACAGTCTCAGCATACATTAAAGCTTCATGTTCCTTGGGATATTTGAATAACTTTGGACATTACAGAAAGAAACTGAAAAACAGAAACCTTCAAAATCTTGTTCTGAACAAGGATACTGGTTTCCAAGTCCAAATAAACACTTAGGAGAGAATCTTCTCCTGTGGATGAGAGCTGGAGTGGCTTGATATTTGCAATGAAAAGATGAAACAGAATGCAAAGCACAGATCTGGGAGCCCAGAAGATGGTTCCTGGCTTTTTCTGTTTTATGATTATGATACCTGACCAAGGCCATTGCTAGTCTGACTTCAGTTTTCTTACCTTTACACTCATTTGCTTTAGATGGTCTCCAGAGTTATGGAGTTCAGAGGTGAAAGTAGTTTTGTGCAACCTTAAAGAGCATAGAACTATGAAGCATCCTTGACAGGTAAGCTTTTGTCACCATTTAGCTATTTTGCTCAGTTTTGTCTTTGCTTCACTCAAGATGAGGAACCCTTGGTTTTCAAGGTCGTTTTAAACAAATTACCACTAGGTAGCTTTTTGTATTGTATGGTGCTCTTGCCCTCTTATTGACCATATGTGTGTGTGTGTGTGTGTGTGTGCGCGTGCTAGATTTTATATAAAAAATCTTCAGATACTGAACAGTGGTTATGTTGATTATTTTCCTCAATTCCTCTATGGTGGGATTTTAGACTTTTCACAATCATGGTGGCTTTTCTTTCTGAAATGTTCTAATTTTTCATTGTCACTTTTAAAATATGGTCTTCAGAAAAGCACACACCACTGCAGATAGGATGGAACAAGTATAAGAAAGTTTTAAAACTGGTTACATAGCCGAGGTTAATATTTTTTTGTTAGTTTTTTCTTTTTCTTTTTTATACATAGCATCTATCTGTAACATCTCTGGTGTTGCCTTTCACATGAATTGCTCATAGAAAGGGTCTCAAATAGGTGAACAGCTTGTTTTTAGCTCCTGAGGAGTGCTTTATATTTATCCTTTTTGTGGGTTATTCTATATCTTTACTAGTGCTGGCCTATTGAATTGTTCTGAACCTTCCGATTGCCCTGGGTATTAGCAAGCTCCTTGAGTGATTGTCTTCACGATCTTACAGATTATGTCTTTGAGTCCATCCCGAGTGGTTAATGAAAATGTCAACCAGGGCAAAGGCAAGTAGTAGCCTTGTGGCAGCCTGCTAGAATGTTTTGCTTTCTCTGCATTTTACTGGTGGGGATCCCTGACAGTGGTTCTAGGCTCCTATTGACAATTTATTAGGCAGGCAGCAGAACAATTTATTTAATTTTGTTTGTTTGTTTGTTTTGCGGTACTGGGGATTGAACTCAGGACCTTGTGCTTGCAAGGCAGGTGCAGCGCCACTGAGCTAAATCCCTGGCCCGACAATTTATTTTTAATGATGGTTTCATATATTTTGTCTTAGTTTGAAGCTTTAAGTTCAGTTTTTCATTAATTTATTATCTGCTACCTTGAAAATTCTGTATTTTTAAAAATGTTTTAGGATTGCTGGTGCTAGTGGCCTCGCAACTCCCTTAGTGCATTCTAGTTAACATTTGCTGTAGTGGGCTCTACTAATATCAAACTCTATCCCAACCCCACCTTTTCTTTTCTTTCATTCATAGTCTCTCCACGATTTTCAGACTTAGGGAGAACCTGTGCTGTATTTGATGTTAAGAGAGGGAGGAAACCTCTTAAAATTAAGCTTTCCAGTCTTTTTCTAGTGGTACCATTACAAGTATATGCCAAGGATTTTTGAAAGATGGTAACTTGTGACAGTATTCTGAGGGGAGATACAGTTCAAAATTCATAAGGAGAAATGTACTGAGGTCTTATTTCAGTAATTTTTAGGAATGGTATGTGATGAAAAAATACCATTTAGAAAATAAAGGATATATAGATATTGATGAAGTAGGTTTAAAATGCAAATAGAATTTACCTGCAAATAACTGGTTAAAAAATATTGTAGAGCTTGAGAGGTATGTCGCTGCTCAGTGGCAGAGTGCTTGCCAAGCATATGCAAGGCTCTAGGTTTGATGCCCAGGATTGCAAAAATGAAATTAGTGTTAAGTATGTAATGGGAGAATGCAACATCAGAAATACTCCGTGTCAAAATTGGAGATGAGAGTAGACTATATTTGCATATTTTGTACTTTGCAACTTGTGCTTTGTTAGTTGCATCAATTTATGACCCTTTGTTAGTTTGTATTACAAGAGCTTTAGTAATAAATACGTGTCAAAATAGTATCAGTGCCCAAATGTCCCACTAAGCCAAGCATTTTATTAGTCAGCAAGACCAATCTTATCTCTCCCTGCTGCTATTTCTTTTGTCCTTTTTCCTTTTTGCCTCCTCTCAAATACATGCATATTAGTGTGCTTAAGTGTAAATATACATAATTACCTGCTCTCCTTTTCACCCCAATTCCAGGGGTAAAAGGAGAATTCGAAAAATACCCTGAAAATCATAAAATGGGACAGAATTCAAGGAGTTATTTCCTTTATTCTATTACTCCTAAAATAGCCTTTATAGAATATGTATATCCTGAGTTGAAGTAGCAATAGGTAGATATTTCTGCGTTCAGGGTTCCCTTTAGTATAGAGTGCCAAGCAGTAATAGAACATGTACTTTAAAAGACCTTTACAAGGATTAGAAAAGATGATTCTAAAAGTTATAATTACATTGAAGGAAAGGAAGGATTCACTGGTGAGAATTATTTTCTAGATGTATCCATAAAGACTTGAATTTCTAATGTAATTATTAGTTACATTGGATATTTTACACTACGTGGTATTTTACCATCACAGTATATCACTCATTAGAGTTAGAATTTTACTTTAGATTTTCTCCCAATCTGTGTAAAGCCTTTTATCCCTTGAAGTATAGGCTTAAACTAAAACATTTTCAGCATGATTCTAGTGATCCTTCTTCTTTTATTTTACAATTAAGAAAATAGAGGAAATGCTATATTCAGAAGTTCTCCAGATTGAGGTGTCCTTAATGACTTTGTTCAGAGAACAAGACATCGTATGGTTTCTAGATTACAGTGCTCTAGGGCTATGTGGAGAAATTGGAATTCTAATGGGATTCAATTTTGTTGAATACACAAGGTTTTGTACCTTAAAGGTTAAGTATCCAGTTGTACCCAACTTAGGAAATTCAGTTATTCCCATAATAACTATTAGTTTGTCCTTATGGGAAGATTTAGAATTTGCATTATTGGCCATAATATCTGGTTTACATTTCAAAATATGTATCATTGAGCCTTATGAAAATGAATTAATCAGTAATGATTTCAATATGCCATGAGGTAGATCATGGACATAGAAATAAATTACAGAAAAATCTTTGCACATGTTGATTATTTAGTTAATATAGGGGAAAATGCAAGTCTGGATCCTGCGATAAAATTAAGGAAGTAAATTGTGTATTGCACCAGGAATAATGTGCTGTTTACAAATGATGTCACTTGCCAAGTTTACACATCTGATTTAGAAGAAACAAAGATTTCAGATTTAATTGAGGACACATGCCTTTGATATCTTACTTGAGGAAACACTTCTAGTCCTCATACTCTATCTTGAAACTATCAGCAGAATTTATTTGAAAATAAACCAATTAAAAAAGTCATTAAAAATTGAGTAATTCCTGGGGACATGGTTTTCATATTACCAAAAATCTACCATTTTTAAGTTCAGAACTTCTTTGATTAATTAATTAATAATTTGATTTAATTCTTTGATTAATGAAATTTTATTTAGGAAAATAAAACTAAAATGTAAAAAATGGCATAGGGTTTCTGAGCCATGTGACCCGTAGTCAGTCCCATTACTCTTGAGAGCAGACAGCCATTGTAAACAGGAAAATTCTAATTTATGCAGCTAGCAGCTTTAGTCTTTCACAGAGTAACAAGTAAGATTACTATGAGCCCTATAGCTTCTTTATTTCTCGCATGGGTGCTTCATCACATGGAGACCAGAAGAGAAGGAACCAGGGAAAAGGAGTATTTTGTCTTGAGTCTTAGAAAGCACACTTGGAAAAGAAAA